TTAGAGACAGGATCTCATTATGTAGTACTGGATAGCCTAAAATAACCACGTAGACCACGCTGGTCTTGAACTCAGAGATCTGCCTGTCTCTGCCTCCCAACTGTTGTAATTAAAAGTGAGCATTGGGCTAGAAAGATGGCTTAGTGGTTAAGAGCACTGGTTGCTTTTCCAGAGGTCCTGAGTTCAATTCCCAATAACCACATGGTGGCTCACAACTACCTATGATGGGATTTGATGCTCTCTTCTGGCATACAGACATACATGCAGACAGAGCACTGATATGTTAAAAAATACATACAGAAATAAAAATTTAAGCCAGATGGGGGTGGTGCACTCCTTTACCCCCAGCACTTGGTAGGCAGAGGCAGGAAGAACTCTGTGAGTTCGAGGTCAGCCTGATCTACAGGAGTTCTGGACAAGCAGAACTGCACAGAGAAACTGTCTTGAAAAACAAAACAACAACCAAATAAAAAGCGAGCACCACCATCCTTGGTTCTGCCACATTACTTAATAGAAGATATGTCATGCACGCCATATGCCTGTTTGTTTCATTTTCTTTCTTTTCTCTCTCTCTCTCTCTCTCTGCATGTGTGTTAGGGGAGTGCTGAGCTAGCTAAGGCTAGTCTCAAATGTGCTACATCAGTAAGAATGACTTTGAACTGCTCCATCTGTCTCTGCCTTCCAAGTGCTGGGATTACAGGCATGTGGACCATGCCTAGCTGTCTTAATATTCAGGGACTTGACTGACTGCTGTATGCTTATATCTAGACTAATGAATGATGCTGAGTAGGTGATACTAAATATGTAATGAATACATGCATAAACATAGCCAAGGGCATGGAATCTGGGTTCAAATGGAGCGTTGCCCCAAGCCCAAAGCCTCACACGTCTGATTTGGTGGGCTAGCATGGCTAGCACTAAACAAAGCAGCACTGACACCAGGCTCCGTGTTATAATCCTCCCTAGGTCCTGCCCCACACAGGCTGGGGATCAGAGCCAGGGCTTCCTGCACGCTGGGCGAGCACTGGATCAGCTGAGCCACAGCCCACCCTGTACTCTTTATGACTGTGCTAAACCGCTCTCCTAACTCTGGCTCAAAGGTAAAGTACTCTGGCCTACCGAGGGACATGCCAACCTGCCAAGAGGGAATCCAAGCGCTAAACACCGCCGGCTGGTCCCGGGTCACTCACCATGCACATGAGACTGCTGGAAGCTCTTCCCGGGGGCAAAGTGGAAGTTCCCAGCCACCTGTAGGAGATAGTTCCTCTTACTCTCCACGCCCACTGCGGAGTTCTCCAGCTGGGGCTCAGCCTAGCTTTCTCGACTCCTTCCTGCCTGGTACCTTGTTGACCTCCAAGAAGCCGTACACCTGGCAGCCTTCGTTCTTCTGCTCCTGCATCTTCTGGCTGAAGCCCTCCCGTCGGCACTGCTCAATAGTGTCTGGGTTCTTGAAGGCCCAGCCCCGGCGGCGGTAGGCTTCCCGCACATCTTCACAACTGTTACAGCACCTGTAGCGGACAGACGAAGGGCTGAGTGAGGCCACATTGCCCCGGGAAGAGAGACAAAGCAGTTCTGCCTGCTGGAGAAGACAGTCACTGCTTCTCTCCTGCTTACGAACCATCATCACCTGCACCAGGATCAGTGACGAGCCACACACCCTGCCCCCTCTAAGCCCTCAGTCCCATCTTCCCCTGCAATTGCAGCCTGACGAAAACCCTGCCCCAAGTCCTGGGGACTGGCTCACTTGATATCGTCTGATTCAGCGCCGTAGCAGCTCTCGCAGCGATTGGGGTCCAGGGAGTCCGGGTCAAACACTGTCACCTCAACCTTCCCGAGTACTAAGAAAAGAGCAGAGACAAAAGCACAGCATGAAGCAAAAAAGGTGACATCTAAAGCTCTTGCCCTCTCCCACACGAGTCCCTTGGTCACTGGGTTGGGAAAAACCGAAGCTAATGTTTATACAACAGATATGACGGTCAGGTGGTGAGCCCTTACATATACTAAGCACTAATAAGGAAACAACAGTGAGTCCTAAGTATCCGTTTGTACAGGTACCTTCAGAGTCTTACTTCATCCATATAAGACTCTAAGAAAACGGGTCTGAGGGGCTGGAGAGATGGCTCAGCGGTTAAGAGCACTGGCTGCTCTTCCAGATGGACCCTGGTTCAATTCCCAGCACCCACATGGTGGCTCACAACTGTCTGTAGCTCCAGTGTAGGGGATCCAGGGGATCTGAAACCCTCACACAGACACATGCAGATAAAACATCAATGCATAAAATAAAACTAAATAAATAATTAAAAAGAAAGAAAAAAATGGGTCTGAGCTGGGAGTAGTGGGCACGCCTTTGATCCTAGCACTTGGGAGACAGAGGCAGGAAGATCTGTGAGTTCTAGGACAGTCAAGAGTTACATACATAGCGAGACCCTGTCTGGAAAGTGAGCACTCTATAGCAGGTCTTTTACACACATTACTTATATACGGTGTATTACTGACTACGTATTACGGCCATTACATATGGATAAACGATCATATCCTGGGAAAATGCACTTACTACATCTAAGATTCGGAACACCATAGCTTAATCTAGCCTACTTTAAACTCGCTCAGAATACTTATATAGTCTACAGCTGCGAAAACACGAAGACTATTTCCTAACCAAGCACTGGGTATCTTGAAGAACTTACTGAATCCTCTCCTGAAAGTGAAGAGCAAAAAGACTGTATGGCTGTGCTCTCAGACCATCACAACGTCAAAGCGTTCTGAGCCGAGCGCCGCCTGTACTGCACTGGACCCTTCGTCTCGGGCATGGGTGCTACTGTTTACCACTGCTTTAGCTGATGGCCACAGACCGCAAGACTGCTAGATCTGAGCCCAGGCAGTTCTGCTGGGAACTTGAACTCTTACCCTCGGAACGCTTACACTGCAAAGGGGGAAAGTACCTCAGCCACGCTCAAGCTTGAGGACATGATAACCAGGTAAAGTGTTATTTAACCGCTGAGCCGTCTCTCCAGCCCCTAAGGTATTCCACTCAATGTGCCAATACTAGAAGCATGGATTCAACACACTCTTGACTCCTAATAGCTGGAGAACCCTAGGCAAGCTAGCTGACCTCTTCTGTCTAATACGTCACTGAGCCTGCAATAGCCCACTTCCAGAAGGCAGTGTGAGTCTGTCCAGCTCTGGGATCGGACACCCTGGTTACCATGCCGTTCGGCCTCTGAGCTCACGGGGATGCCATCCTTGTCTAGTCGTTTCTTGAACAGGTTGTGCTCCACGTCCAGCTGTTGTTCCCCAGCCACATCCATGGCATCGATGCTCAAGTCTGGAAACAGAGACAGCTAAGACACCATGACTCTGGGGACCTGGAGAGTTGGGCCTTGATGGGAAAGGTCTATCTGGAGGAAGAACTAGACTAGGGAAATGAGGCTGACCTAGTATCTGCTCCGGGACCTAAGGCCAGAGGTGTAAATCTCAGTCCACCAAGTCTCCTTGGAACCCCCAGGAGTCCAACTCCCACCCACAACCAGGTACTCACAGGCACAAGGCATGTGTGGAAAAAGAACATCGATGTTGATCTTCAGTTTATCGCCCCGAGACTTGTCCACGTAGAGCTCAGGATGCACCTGAAAGGAGACTACCTCAGTCAGGTTTGGCCCTACCCCTCTCCTTCCTTCTCCTACCTTTAAGGGTCTCACCCATAGAATGCCAAGCATGCCAAGCCCCACCCACGATCTAGGCCACGCCCCTTACCTCGGTGGTGAGATAATACTGCAATTCGGACAGAAACAGCAGGAGCATGAGAAGGCCACTGACGATGGTCACTGCAGGGCGGGAGCGAGACTTGGAATGGCCTGTGTCCCACCCCCCAGCCTCTAGCAGGCCAGGAAGAGTCAGGGAGTGCGGGCCAAACGCGTGGACCCCTCTCTCCCCGCAACCCCACCCGCGCCGAGACCTTACCCGTGGCGCCCCCGCAGGTCTTGACCCGGAAGTCTTCCAGAGTCTTAGGGTAGGCATCGAACTTCTTCAGCTTCCCCAGCGCCTCCATGGGGACCGGCCGGAATAGGGACACCAGCCGGTCCGCCCCTCCAGCTTCTCGTTTCCGGCCTGGAGCCGGGGCCACGCCCCTAGCAGTTTGCGCAAACGTGGTAGTGCGTACGCAGGCTCCACCCCTCACCTTCTCAAAGGTTGACTGGCTGGCGGACATTGTCACGCCCCCTAGCGCGGATTGGGTGGCGCCCCGAGGGGGCGGGCCGAGAACGGAGAGGGCGGTGCTTGAGTGCGGAGTGACAGCACCTGCGGTGAGCTCTTCTCCTTGCCCTGTAGGTCCTCTTTAGAACAGAGCTTCCAGCAAGCCCCAGCCTGGAGCCGCAGGACCGTTAACTAGAATTGATTCCAAGTGCAAATAATCGGTCCCCGCTGCCCTCATCAGACAGTCCAAAAGTGGCTCCGAGGAGTATCTAATGTGGGTAAGGCATCTGTGCTGCTGGAAGTAAGTAATCACTGGCAGGCAGTTCGAGCCCCAGAACCCACACGGTGGAAGAAGAGAACTGATTCTTGCAAAATGTCCCCTGACCTCCACACGAATACCGTGGCATGCCAGTGGCCACACATACAAATTTATATATATATAAAATTTTTAAAAGAAATGGGTGTTAACTTCCTTTTTTTTTTTTTTCCAAGCTCAAATTGATCAATAGTGGAACCCAATTCTTCAGGACCTCAAAGTACCCTGGGTTCTTAACTCCGTTTCCCAGTGCTTTCTGGATTAACTGAAATCATTTCATAAAACATGGGCGGTTCACCTCCAGGCCATGGCTAGTGTGAAGATTAAGCAAATCTTTATTTGCTTTGTGTTGTAGCCCGCTGGCTGTAGAGGAGCACTAGGCTTAATACAGCTGTGTCGCCTAAACACAATGCTCATGAGTTTTGCTTGAGACAGGGTCTCATTATGCTGCCCAGGCTAGCCCGGAACTTCTGGACACCTCCTGCCTCCATCTCCTGGCATCTCATGGAAGGTTTGTGTTTTAAAATTTATTCATTTATTTACTCATTTTTAAAAAGATTTACTTATTATTTATACAGTATTCTCCTGTATACCTGCACACCAGAAGAGGGGGCCAGATCTTATTATAGATGGTTATGAGCCACCATGTGGTTGCTGGGAATTGAACTCAGGACATTTAGAAGAACAGCCAGTGCTCTTAACCTCTGAGCCATCTTTCCAGCCCCTTATTTACTTATTTTTACGTGTATGTGTATCTACGTGTGTTAATGTGTGCCAGATGATAGCAGAGGGGTATTGGATCCCCTAGAACTGGACTTCTGGGCAGTTGTGAACCACCCATTGTGTGTTCTGGGAAATGAACCAGGGACGTCTGAAAGAGCAGCAAGCACTCCTAACCATGCTGAGTGCTTTCTCAATTCCCAAGCTTAAAGGCTTTGATTTAGAAATCCTGCTTCAGGTAAAAAATTTCACTTTAGGACTCTATTTTATGCCGCTGAGTGGTTACATACCCACAATGCTGAATGTTTTCCCTTCAACCTAAAGAGTTTTTAAAAGTTTGTTTTGCAGCTGGGTAGGGAGGCAGAGGCAGGCAGATCTCTGTGAGTTCAAGGCCAGCCTGGTCTACAAAGCAAGTCCAACTCTAGGACATCCAAGGCTACACAGAGAAAGCCTGTCTTGAAAAACCAAAAAAAAAGTTGTTTTATGTTTTATTTTAGACAGAGTCCCACTGTTGTAGCCCTGGCTGGCCTTTAATTGCAGATGTCTGCTTGCCTCTGCTTTCTAGGAGCTGGAACGAAAGGCGTGTATCGCCGCACCTAGCTCTTCAGTGTTTTCATTAGCATATGCTGATCATCCACGGTGATGGGTTTCTGTTAAACACAGGAGGCCCAGTTACTTACCCTGCTTGGGCCTCGTTCCTCTCCCATTAATCCCCTTCACTTTTCTTCTTTCCTGTCATTTGTGTGTGTGTGTGTGTGTGTGTGTTCCTGTGACTCGCCACTTACAGAAACCTCTCTGCTTCTCCCTCAACTGTTACCTGCATGTCAGTCCTCAGCTGCCGACTAGCCCAGTATGGAGACTTTGTGCAGAGAATCTTAGAGTCCCATTTATGGCTGGGTGTTCACCAGTCCTTTGTTCTTGGCACTTTGGTCAGCAATTCTCTCTGAGCATTGCACAACTATCCTAGGGATAAGCTTTTGTTTTGTTTTGTATTTTCAAGTTTTTTTTTTTATTGGGCAAGTTGCAGTGGTTGAGTGAGGATGGTTTCAGGTTTGAGGTTAATGTGGGCTATGTAGGGAGACCTTTTCTTTTTCTTTCTTTCTTCATTTTTTTTTAATGAAACAAACAAAAACCTGAAATGAAGATCAGTCAGGGTAATACTTGTAATCCTGACACTTGGGAGGTAGAGGCAGAATAAACAAAATTTCAAAGGCAGTTCAAGGCCAACCTGGGCTTTGAGAACCCATCTCAGAGCAAACAAAAGTTGTACCAGGTGGCAAAGACTTATGCATGAGTTCATGAGATTGCTCAGAGGCAAAACCCTGAAGCCAAACTAAATGTCCACATATAGCGATCAATTCTGTAAAAGTATATTGTCAGGTTTCACTCCAGAAAAAAAAAATGGAATACAAAACTTGTTGATTGACACTGATCCTCAGAAACTGCATTTAAAAAAGATGGGGCCTGAGAGATGACTCAGTAGTTAAGAGTGTGGCTGCTCTTCCAGGGCCCGGGGATTAGTTCCTACATAGTGGCCTCCAACTATCGGTAACTGCAGTTCCGAGGAATCTGACACCCTCTTCTGGCCTGTATAGGTACCGCACAAACATGGTACACGTACATACAGGCAACACACCCATGCACATAAACCTTCGTGGTCCATATTGGGTCCACCTGATCCACAAGCCACAGCACCAGAATGACATCCACCAGCCGCCCAGAAACTTCCTGGAGATAGAAGTGAGCAAGCTGCAGGCCGTGGGTGAACACAAATCATCTCAAGTTGCAGGATCAAACTTGGGTCATCAGCCAGTGTGGGGAAGGCTTTTACCACTGAGCCATTTCACTGACCTGTGTAAGTGCTTTTAAATTGTCATTTTTGGAAACAGGGTGTAGCTATGGCCTGAAGCTCCATATGTAAACCGGGCAGGCCTCAGACTCACAGGGATCTGCCTGCTGCTGCCTCCCAAGTGCTGGTATTAAAGGCTATACCACCATGTCAGGCTGCAACTGGTTTTTAATAAATAGAGGCGAATTTAGCATTCTTGTCTAGAAGCTGAAACACATTGTTTTTGTTTTATGTGTATTTACATATATGGATCAAATCTGGGTGTCGGTTGTTTTAGTGTGAAGAACACTACATTAGTGGAAATCAGGTTCAGCATGCTGGTTTTGAGTGGAGAGTGCTTGGGGTCTCTTGTTTTCGTTTTACATCAGTAGTAGCAGCTATTTTGAAACCATTCTGCAGGGCTATTGAGATGACTCAGTGGTTAGATGTGCTTGTCACTAAGCTGACAATTCCACATGATTGTCCTGTGGCCATCACACACAGACACCATGACATATATGCCCCCACACACATGCACAGACACTCTGAATGTAACAATTTAAAAAGATTCCTCAGTTGCTTCCTTTGCCAGGGGTTTTTCATACCATAATAGTGTATAAATATGTGTATATGTGTATTATTACTAGGGGCTGCAGAGAGGTACCATAACATACATCTAGAAAAAAATAAGAGAGAGGTTTGTAATTATATCTGTTTTTTTTTTTTTTTTTCAAGACAGGGTTTTGGGGCTGGAGAGATGGCTCAGAGGTTAAGAGCACTGACTGCTCTTCCAGAGGGCATGAGTTCAGTTCCCAGCAGCCATATGGTGGCTTATAACCATCTATAATAAGATCTGGTGCCCTCTTCTGGCCTCTTCAGCTGTACATGCGGATACAACATTGTATACATAATAAAAAATAAATCTTAAAAAAAAAAAAAAGACAGGGTTTCTCTGTGTAGCCTTGGCTGTCCTGGACTCACTTTGTAGACCAGGCTGGCCTCAAAATCACAGAGATCTGCCTGCCTCTGCCTCCCTGAGTGCTGGGATTACAGGCGTGTGCCACCACGCCCAGCTATCATAATGATATCCAATACTTTGTGTGTTGATTTTAAAACTTTTTTAAAGGAGAGAGTAAGAATTTTGGAGGATTACACCAAAAGCAGAGCAGCTGGGGATGGTGTGGTCATTTACTGACAGAACCGCCTTGGAAGACTTGGCTTCTCAGCAAAACCGCAGGTTTAGTCAGGCTTGTTCAGGTGAGAGATCTCAGACAGCTAAGTGAAGACAGAATTGAGGACAGTGTGTGCCCCTGGTCTCACCTTTGGGTATCAGAGAAAGAGCCTGGTGACTTTCTCTGGGCAGAGTACCGGACAGCGGTCACAACGTGGACTTTGTGATGAGCTCTTGAATCTGACTGGGAGGGCACTGACAGCCAATCTTTCCTTCTGCAGGGAGCACTCAAGAGAAAACTTACGCTCTCTGGCTGTCCTAGCATCTTCACCTAGGCCCAGTCAGAATCCTCCCTCGGGTAAGGAAATGGACAGGAGGGAAGGGTTGAAGCTGGAAGACCGAGGAGCTGTGGAGGCCAGCATGAAGGGATGCTGGTACTGTCTGTGGCCTCAGCCCCGTGTCCTTTCAGGTGGAGGAGCCGTCTGCCGGCTGCTGCGTAAGCCGTCGTCTGCGCAGACATGAAGCCCTGCTGGGTCCTCTGGGAGCTTGTCTTGTGTCTGGTGGCTCCCTACTTGGATCTGACCCACGAATCGGCACCCCAGCAGGAATGGACATACGTGGTTCCACAACACTGTAACTGGCTGTGCTTCAAATTTGAGGAGCATGGCTGCCCTTCAAGGACCCCCAACTGCTCCACCTGCCGCCACGCAGTTGGAGGATGGAACTGGATTGAGGCCTGTTATGAGAAGACCATGGGGTACTTGAGGAGAACAAACGCTCTCTGGTGGCTGGTCAGTGGTCAGTGGAGCCCTACCCCATTCATGTTGGTCCCCAGGCTTAGTCCTCCCACATCCTAGCCCAGACCCCTTCTCATGGCTGTGGTGTGCATGTCCCCTTTTCCTACCTCGGCCCTGTCCTCCCCTGCTGGCCCCCCAGAACTGAGGGCTGGTGCCAGACCCCGCCTCCTCTCTGTGCTGTTTCCAGGGCATCAACTTGGTGGGCGAGCTTGGGAAAGTGTGGAAGAAGACATCAGAAGTTATTTCCAGGCCCCTCCTGCACCATTTTGATTTTCACTGTGTGCCCTGTGCCATCCTAGGGAACTCTGGCCTCAGTAATACCAACCGATTCTACATGGCTATCAGGTGGGTACTGAGAAGGTGGTAGGGCCCAGGTAAGGCTTGCCCCAGGGTCCTTCAGTTTCTGCCATTGTTACCAGAATGAATTAGGCTTTTGCCCACAGCTCTGAGGCAGAATTGAGGAACCAAACCACAGGACCCTTCACCTGTCCCAGGAATGAGAGTCACCAGGGCTACTGGAGGCAACAGTGGTTACTGCAGCTGTCTGATCTAGTGCCCGGAGGGACAAGGTAATGGCTAGACCAAGGGGCTCTCCCTGGGAAGGTGGGAGGAATGCTGGGGAGTCTGTGCTGCCTCTCTAGGGGCACCCAAGGGATTTGGTTCAGGTCTCGGCTTTCTAGAATCTCACCACCTCCAGTTCTTCCATGGAGTTTGGAAGATGGTCTGATTTCCTAGAGGCATGAAATAGTAAAGACAAGGAGAGGATGTGGCTCTCACTTGCTGTGGGGCTCAGGCTAGCCCAGGTATAACTGTAATACAGGCAACTAGCTGGCTAACCAGGGTGAGTGGCCAATACTGGAATTCACAGTTTGGTCTGCATAGTCAGCATGAACTCATTGCATGCCTGATGGCTTCAGCACGAGGCCAAAGTTCTGTCAACATCCATTCCTTACTTCTCCCTGCCTTCCGCTCTCCTATTCAGTACATTATCTTTTTTTTTTAATTAATTAATTTATTATTTATATAATATTCTGCCTGCGTGTATGCCTGCAGTCCAGAAGAGGGCACCAGATCTCACTGTAGATGGTTGTGAGCCTCCATGTGTTTGCTGGGAATTGAACTCAGGACCACTAAGGGAGACTAGCCAGTGCTCTTAACCTCTGAGCCATCTCTCCAGGCGGTGCATTATCTTTTTAACAATTATTTTGTGTGCATGAGTTTGACTGGATTGTATGCATTTACCATATTCATGCCTGATACCCTCAGAGGTCAGAAGAGGGGTCTGATTACTTGGAAATGGAGTTAGGGATGGTTCTGAGCCACTGTGTGGGTGTACAGCAACAAATGCTCTTCACTGACGAGTCATCTTTCTACCATTCTGCAGTTCCCTAATACTCCCACTGCCTTTTGCCTTTTTTTTTCTTTTTTGTTTTGTTTTTTGAGACAGAGTTTCTCTGTATAGCCCTTGCTGTCCTGGAACCCACTCTGGATCAGGCTGGCCTCGAACTTACAGAGGTCCTCCTGCCTCTCCTCCCACATGCTGGGATTAAAGGAGTGCACGGCCATTGCGTGGCTTCCCTTTGCCTTTTCCCAGGCCCTTCCCTCTGTCTGGAATCCCCTGCTCAGCGCGTATGAGGGATCTTTTGAGGGCCAGGGTGAGTCTAAGAGTGTTCATCCTACCATGTTGAGTCTGTCTTCCCCAGAGAAGAGAAGCTCCATTCTCTCCCAGCCCTAGAAACGGCCTGTCACTGCTGCGAGAGGGAATGTGGGCTAAAGGACAGGATTCAGCCTGCTGACATGTACATCCCTCTCTTACGCTAGGTCACCCTCTCTGGGATTTGGATCAGAACAGCAGAGAAAGTGGTCCTATTACCAACAGAATGGGAATCAGACCAAAGGCCCCAGAAACACCTGTGCGCATGGACTAGAGAAGCAGATATAGAAGTTGCTTTTCAGCTAAAGTGGGCAGACAGAGCCACCATTCACAAGGGACAACTGGCTGAGGCCTGAATGCTGGAGTTTTAGGACAACAGCCACATAATGTGAAGATATTCATGGGTGAAGAGGAAAAGAAAATGGTGTGAGATCAGTCTAGCACTGAATAAAATCTTGGTCTGGTTCTCTCACCAGGCACAGTATCTGGGGAGGAAGGTCGGATCTCAGGGGTAATGATTATGTCTGGCTGGATGCCATCCATCCACGTATCTAGCTATCGTCTATTTGTTTTTCTTGGGCAGAACTGTACAATGCAGGCCCAGGCTGACCTTGATCTTATGATGTTCCTGTCTTAGCCTTCTGAGAGGTGGCATTACAGGTGTGCAGGGTCCTTGCCCAGTGTTGTGTGGCATTTTCCTACAAGACAAAGCCTTTCATTTTGGAGGAAAGCACCTTAGGACACCAGAGGGAGCAAGCAGTGGTGTGCACACCCTCAATCCCAGCCCTCAGGAGGCAGGCAAATCTGAGTTCAGGCCAGCCTGGTCTACAGAGCGAGTTCCAGGACAGCCAGGGCTACACAGAGAAGCCCTGTCTTTTTTTTTTTTTTTTTTTAAATAAATTACAGTTTACTCACTTTGTATCTCAGCTGTAACCCCCTCCCTCATCCCTTCCCAATCCCACCCTCCTTCCCTTATCTCCTCACATACCCTTCCCCAAGTCCACTGATAGGGGAGGTCCTCCTTCCCTTCCCTCTGATCCTAGCCTATTAGGTCTCATCAGGGCTGCCTGCATTGTCTTCCTCTGTGGCCTGGTAAGGCTGTCCCTCGCCTCAGGGAGTGGTGATCAAAAAGCCAGCCACTGAGTTCATGTCAGAGACAGCCCCTGCTCCCCTTACTAGGATACCCACGTGGAGGCTGAGCTGCCATGGGCTACATCTGTGCAGGGGTTCTAGGTTATCTCCTTGCATGGTCCTTGGTTAGAGTATCAGTCTCAGAAAAGACCCCTGACAAACCCTGTCTTAAAAAAACAAAACATGGGGCTGGAGAGATGGCTCAGAGGTTAAGAGCACTGGCTGCTCTTCCAAAGGTCATGAGTTCAGTTCCCAGCAACCCCATGGTGGCTCACAACCATCTATAATGAGATCTGGTGCCCTCTTCTGGCCTGCAGGTGTACATGCAAACACACACTGTATACGTAATAAATCTTTAAAAACAAACAAAACCACAGGAGGATCTAAGGGGAGGTGAAAAAAAATCCATCTGACAGGGAAAACCCCCAAGTAAACAACTCCAAAGCTTCAGGACGTCCCAGACACTGAGCAGATTCACTAGACCCCTCACTCGCAATGAGGCCTGCAGGGGGTCACTTCAGACATTCCCAGCTGCCTAGGAAGCAGCAGAGACCAGATGAACTGCCTGGAGAAAAGCTGCCCACAAGTTGTGCAGTGATCTAGGTTTCCAGCATTTGTGAGTGTCACCCACTGAGAAGTGGGATTTTGGTTCTGTGGCTGTCTTTAGGTCTTTTCTACTCTATAAGTAACCCTCCCCCAAATGCATTTGTTTATCGTATTTCTTACGCGAGTAGCACGAATGAACTCAAGTTAGTTTCACTGTTTTCAGTGGGGACCCTTGAGTACAGGGAACTGGAAAAAATGCACACTAAAAGATGAAAATGGGACGCTGATACATGCAACACATGCGCACGTGTGTGCGTGTATATGTATATGGACATGCACACACATGTGAAGGACCTGTCGAAAAGCAAAGTGCACAGGCACATGACCGGCAGGCTCAGATCAAGTGTAGAACACTGGGAACAAGAACACTGCTTTAGGGGATGGGGAACAAGGCTTGGTGGTAGAACTGCTGCTTAGCCTCCCTGGTGTCTTGGGTTCTATTCCCTCCACTGAAGAAAAAAAAAAAAGAAAGAAAAAAGTGGGGCACCACTGCTCTGTCTTTGAGGGAGTCACTAACAATGGTCCTAGGCCCGTGAGCTCTAGTCTACAGCTACCAGTAAGTGACAGGTTTGGACTTGTATGCTGACTGGCTTCACACATGGCTGCACTTAGTGGTCAGAGTCACTTCCAGTTGATGTGCCCAGGGAGGACACAGGGATATTCAGGTAGACAACCACGTGTTATGGGGAACAAAGCCAGATGGACTTCTTAAATCAAGAATGACTTTGGACAAAGGTCAAGGAGCTTGATTCAAGTAAAGAAAGTTACTGTGTGGGTTACAGCTAAGACTTGCTGGAATCCAGCCTCTGACCTTGGTCCCGTCCTTTGCCAGCTCCTTGCCTCAAAGAGATCCAGCTGCCTCTGCCTTCTGAGTGCTGGAATTAAAGGTGTGTGCCACCACCTTCCCAGTTAGATAGCGCACTGTTCGTACATTCATGCCACCATACAGGAGTCAGGAAATCTCCCTTAATTCCCTTTATGTTCTTCTTCTTCGGCCCATCAGTGGAGACAGCAGCTGAGGACTGAGGACTAGTGTAAAAACCTGTATTTATTATTGAAAGGGAAGGTAAGGGAGGGTAAGGGAGACATTGAAGACAAATAGGCAGTGGACACTGCCTGTATTTGATGCATGCAGGGTGATTCTGCCCAGGACAGAATACCTGCGTGCTGTTGATACCAGCTGCGTCTTCAGGCTTAGTGTAGACTGTGGCTGCTTCATCGGGGGAAAGACAGCAGGTACCCGGAGTCAGGGCAAGGCACTTCTTGGGTAATAGTAGGTTAGCAAGCAAATGTGATTTGCCTCATTCCATGTGACCTGAGATCCTCTCCGGCTTAGAGGGGTACCGTTTCCATTCCTGGGACTGTCAGCTGACCTGGGCCTCCCAGGTTGGGTAACAGCTAACTCTTTGCCATTGGCAAACCTGTAACTGGGGGCTATGACCTCCCTCCCCGGCAGTCTGAGGTGTGCCACCTGGCTTGCCTGTGCTCTCCCTGGCTATGGCTGCTACCTGGGGTTATTCTAAGTGTCTGGACTGGGATGTGGCAGGCCTGGCCCTGTGGATGTCAGACTCTGAGTCAGGGACTCATCCAGCTTTCGAGTCTCAGCCTCCAGAACAGTGGCCTCGGGGGCCTGGGCCACTGTGAGGAGGGAGTGAGACAGGCTGTGGTGCAGGCTTGCGAGTTCACGGTTGGTCTGCACGGACCGGGCGATGTAGGCCTCCCTCTGCTGCTGCTCCAAGGCCAGCTGGGCTCGCAGCCGGGACACCTGGGAGAAAGGAAAACCAAGAAGGATAGATGAGGCTCTGGAGCTGTCCTGGCCCTTCTGCTATGTGCTCTTGTGGCTTCACACTGGAATCGACTCTGCTACATAGGAGTCTCAGAATTGGGTTCTAAGGTTAAAGAGAAGGGCTTTATGGACTCCAAATCCAGTGATTCTCAATGCTAGCTTCACAATTATGACGGCTGGTTTAACTGTCGACGCAGTCTAGAATCGCTTGGCAAGAAGCTCAGTGAGAGACTATGTCAGGTTCCCTGTGGGCATGTCTGCATGGGATCGTCTTGTCTGCATAAGCAAGGTGCAGACTTGGCTCGTGTGGTGGCGCCGCTCCTTGGCTTTGGGTCCTGGACTGCAGTGAGCTGAGCAGCAGTCATGCATGCATTAACTCTCTCTCAGCTGCTCTAAGTTCCTGCAGCCTTGATTTCCCTGCTCTGATGGACTGGGACCTGAAGCTGTGCTTTTGTCAGGGTGTTTATCAATGAATCTAGGACAACAGGTAACACATGAGGAGCTACAAGCAGCAATAATTTTTTTTTAACTGTTTAAAAGATTTAAGAAACTGTATGACTGTTTTGCCTGTATGTATGTGTGTACACTGTGTTCCTGGTACCCACAGAAGTCAGAGGAGGACATTAGACCCCCTGGAACTGGAGTGTGGTTTGTTGTGAGCCATCACGTGGGTGATGCAAACTGAACCTGGGTCCTCTGCAAGAGCCACAAGAGGTCTTAACTGATGAGCCATCTCTCCAGCTCAAATTTACTCAAGAAAAACTTACATGTGATAAAATGCCCAGAGTTTTAATTTTGATGATTTTGATAACGGATATGCCTATGCATAACCACACTCCTGACAAGACATAGAACAATCATGGTAAAAGTCCCTCATGCACCCCAAAATCATGTTTGCGTTATCTTGCCTCCTAACTGGCTAAATACTTCCTACACTTGGGCAGGGCAAAGGTGAGGTGGGCAGAGCTAAGGTTCAAGGGCTTTGGGGAAGGAGGAGGAAGGCGGGAGAGAAAGGAAAGAGTTGGCATGGGATAGAAAAAGAACCACATGGGCTGGGAGGAAGGACTCCTAGGAGAGCAGGATTACCTGCCCAGCCCAAGGCAAATCTAAAATCTAACAGGTGTCTTTTATTGACTGTGATAGCATGTTAGATAATACTGCCGTAATAATTATAGAGCACATAATATACATTATTAGCCTGATACCTTTTATTTTTCACAACTTAACTAGAGTGGTGAGCGGCCCAGCCATCAGTATTCACAGCTCCTTCCCTGGGCTCTAACACACAGCCAAGGCTGAGGTTCACCCGCTAAACTTACCATCCCTCAGATGGGAGCAGTGAGACCAGCAGACTGTGAAGTGATGAGCAGGAGGACTGCCCGGACCAGGTGAGGTAAGAGGTGGTGGAGAGCAGATCTAAGGGGGCACTAGGAAAAACAAAGTCCCCGGCCTCTCTTGCCTCAGACTGAATCAGGACTGCTTTTTAAACAAAATAAAACGCAGCAGCCAAAGTGTGAGAGCCAGCCCTGCCAATGTAACTACTGATGTCTGAAAGAGGCTTAGAAATCAAATCATACACATCTCAACACTGGGAGGAGGAGGGTGGCGCTGGTGTAGTCGCCCTGAGTGCAGCACCTTGGTGGAGCTGTGCCTGGGTCCCTCTGCCCCAGGTGCTGTCGAAAGCGCTGCCTGCCTGCAGCCAAGGCAGACGCCTGCCAGCGCTTCTCACTCCATTCTGTTCTAGACCCTTCTGCTCCTCTCCCTTTCATCGGAAGCACCATTTGCCTCCTGTGGAGATGAAAGTTTTCTGAATGCCAAAGCTACATCTCCTCTCTGGATGCAAACACACAGGGCCAAGCACATAGCGAGCACTAAGCCTTGTTGCCTGAGCACAGTGGGAGGGAATAGAACACGGATCCTTCCAGAACATACCTCTCTCTGAAGTTCAACCGCATGAACGCAATACGCGAAACGTTTCTGGCCTCTTCCATCCTGCAGAAAACAGATATGGACCCTGTTAGACCGGGCTGTCCTGCTCTGGAGTCTCCTCAGCACCTTACCTCTGCTCCATGGCCACCTTGGATTCTAGGGGTTCTATCTGCTGAGAAGGCAATGCTGAACTCCTCCTCCCACTTCTGGGGGTGGGCTAGGCAACATCTTGAGGACCAGAAGTACCTGAACTCAGACTGAGGCTCAATGGGCATAGTTTCAGGGCTAGGGGAGTCCTAGGAGGGCCCACAAAAGCACAGTGGGCAACAACCTTTGTGAGAAACCCACTTTTATTTAACGTAAGGGTTCATGATGGATCTGTTCTATGGCAGCCTTGGGCTATGAGCCAAAGATACACAGGGGAAGACAGTGTCTGCCCTTGAGAAACAGTCATTAAGGGAAATGGGGTGAAGCTGGAGAGATTCAGGACCAGGAGAATGTCTGTGCCAGGAGCTATCAAGAACCTTAACTCTAAACTCAGCACAAGGGCTCTAGAGAGTTGCAAAGCTGTGATCGTATTTCTGGCACGCCAAGACCTGGTGAGCACAACATAACTCCTGGGTGCCAGGGATTCTGGTTGACCCAAGGTGAGCCTGAGGCACTTGTCTGGGCGTGAGTGGATCTGAACCCCTAAGAATGCAAGCCCACTATCGCTGAGAACACTCTCACCTACTGATGTCGGACCTCCTCCTGAGGCAAGGATAATCTAGGGCAGAATCAAGCCAGGAAGGGCTCTCTAGACCAGTCAGGGTGGTTGGCTCGGAATCTGAGTGCCTTGGGCTATGCACTACAGAGGGTTGAGTTAAGGTGAGGTGAAGGGGGAGGGAAGAAGAGGCAGGTGAGAAAAATAGGCAAACCTGTTGTGTGAGGAATGAAGTCATAGCTTCTTCGGTCTCCAGTGTCCCTGACCCGGTTGCACACATTAAGTCCTTCTTCAGCCTCCTCCGCTGGTTCTCCACCTGCCAATATGCAAGTGAGAAATCACATGTGCAGGGGTGAGTGGAGAGAGCTAGAAGCCACAGGAAGTAAGAGTCCTGGGCTGGGGAGGGCATATGGTGGAATGCAAGGAAGTGCCCCTGGCACAGTGGAGGCAGGCCAGCTCTCAGGCCTTGGAAGCAGGGGGGCTCTGTGGGCTGTTCCAGCCCTGTCACAACTACTCTGCTCCCTGGTGTGGCAGGCAAGCACCCAAAAGCATGGCTGTAATATAATAAAAAAGTGGAGACACAGGCCCACTGGGCCCCAGAGGGAGACTGCAGAAGTTGCTGACCCGAACCAAGACGCTCCGCAGCTGTTTGTTGTCGTGCTGCAGAGCGCTCTGTTCAACTTCCAGCTGCGCCACTGCTTGCTGCAGACTTTCAATCCTTTGTTTCCATTGTTCCCTCTCTTCTGCTCCAGGACTAGGCTCAGCCTCCACTACCTGCATGGGAGACCCATGATGCTCATCTGGGCAGCCCTACAAACAGGGAGAAGAGAGGAGGGCAAGGGACCAATCTGGCAGTTTGGGTTCGGAGACCCATTCCCAAAAGAGGGTAACAAGTTGTTGACAGGGATCCTCCGGTGCCACCAGGCACATCTCACCTCTCCAGGCTGTATGTCCTGTCCAGCTTTGGGCTCCTGGTCTGCTCTGCTAGTTGAGTGTGGGCCATGTGACTGCTTCTCTTCCAGAGCCTGTCTGCTGAGTACCAACTCCTCCTAGGGCATAGAGCAAGGGAGAATACTCACACTATGCCAAACTCATGTCCAAAATTGTGTCATCCTCTGCCTTCTTCATAAGCAAGCCATGCTTAAGAAGGGAGACAGATCTGTCAGTGTGTGTGTGTGTGTGTGTGTGTGTGTGTGTGTGTGTATGTGTGTGTGTGTGTGTGTGTGTGTGTGTGTGTGTGTGAGACAGGCTCACAGGGAAAGGAAGGGCCAAATGCTCTAACCCTGAGCCCTAGTCAGACTGTCAGAATTAGCTCAACCCATCCAGAAGTCTGGCTCTGGAGAAGCTGAGGTCTCTGCCATTTTTCAACAATAAAATGAACATCTTATCAGTTATTTCTTTGAAGGCAGTGAAAAAATGAGAACAATGAAACATGGCATGTAAAAATGTTTAGAATACGTAAAGTACTATGTGGTAAAGAGAGCTTGCTGCTTTTCCAGAGGACCTGAATTTGGTTCCCAGCACCCACATGGCACGGCTCATAGCTGCCTCTAACTCCAGCTCCGGGGAATCCAACGCCCTCTTCAGGCCTCCTTGAGACCTGCACACACATGGCACACACTCAGACATGCACATACACTAACAACAGCCAGGAAGCAGTGGCGCATGCCATTAGTCCCAGCACTTGAGAGGCAGAGACAGCCTGGCTACAGCCTGGGCTATGCAGAGAAGCCCTGTCTCGAAAAACCAAAAACAACAAAAGCACTGGCACCACCAAGGACTGCCTGTAGAAGATGCTTGTGTAGTGTCTGGGGATAAGGAGTATGCAAAGTCTCTCTGAGCCTCATTGTGCTGTTGAAAGAGCAGGGCAGGAAGTTATCCTCTTGCCTAGATTCATGAGTTCCAAGGCCAGAAAAATGGTTTGGTGGGTGAAGACGCTTGTCACTGAGGCTGATGACCTGCATTCAGTCCTGGGAACCCACATAGAAAATGGAGAGAACCAACTGTGACCTCGCACAGGTGCCACAGAACACACCTTTCTTTTGAGAGGTAAAAGGTGCTTGGTGCATACAGCCTCGCTGCAGCCCCCATTCCCTACACGTTCACCAGAATTGCAGGTTTGGAAAGGGAGGGCTCAGGCATGGCACATAGCCAGGAAATTACAGAACCTAGTTCAAATCCAGGAACCCAACTCCAAAATTTGTCAGTGCAATTCCTTCTCCACACACTGCCCTTTTAGCAGGGCAGAGCTCTGTGAGTCCTCAGAGGTCAGTTCCCAGCAGTTGTCTGAGGTGAGAGAATGGATTCTTTTGCTCTGGGGTTCAACAGATCAAAACACAGAATCAGTTTCCTTAGACAACTGGATTAAGTTTGTCTTGGAGAAAGAAACACTGTCTATGTTCAGCAGTAAGCCAGCTCTCTCCACGGCCCATTCTGCTGTCAGTCTGGAGACGTGGGCTTGGTGCTGGGGTATGAGGACAACCAAGGCGAGACCTCAAGACAAACGTCTCACCCCGAGTCCTTTAATCAGTGCTCTCAGCCTTCCTGATGCTGTGTCCCTGTAATACAGGTCCTCATGCTGTGGTGACCCCAACCCTACAATTACTTCCGCTACTACTTCATAACTGTAATTTTGCTGCTGTTATGAATCGTAATGTAAATATCTGATATTTCCAATGGTGTTAGGTGACCCCTGTGAAAGGGTTATTTCAACCCCTACAGGGGCCACGACCCATAGGTTAAGAAACATTGTCTATGATCAACCTGCTGACTGGAGCTCTACCATGCTTCCTACCAGAGCTCTAATGGAGCATCCCATTCTTCACCCACAGGTCCTTCACTGAGCTGCTGGCTGGACTGGTCCCTGTGTGTCCCCCAGGGGCCTCGCTCCACTTCCAAACCAAGCTCGCCTTCCTCAACCCTGCTTCTCTTTATCTCAGGGGGCAGAAACCCTGGTGCTGCCTTTCTCCTTTCTTGCCGCCCCCTCCCTGGACCTCTGTCAGCCCCCTTTGGCCTTCCCAAGCCCGCCGTCAGTCCACATGCTGTCCCGGGCAGCTTTTCCGAACTTGCCCCAAATCTTCCATCTACTTCCCACTAGTATTGACCCTGTCCTTAGAAGTCCTGAATGTCATGGCTACTTCTGTCCTCTCTTCTCTTGCCAGCACCCTCTATGTCCCAGGTGACTTGAACCTCCGGTCTTCCCCATGTCCCTTAGTCATGTTTCCTCTGCTCTTCCCCAAGAAACCCCTACCCGCACTGCACCTTGCCATCTCTACCAAGTCCCTTCCGACCTAACCTCAAGCGGCACGTTTCCCAGGAAGCCACCTGTTACCCACCTCAGGGAGTTGGGAATGCCCCTGCAGCATGCTCGGAGCACACTCTATCAGGCATGGACCACGCTCATTACAGGTGCTCATCTGCCCCACTGCCTCTGAGGTAAAGAGGGGCTCACCACCTTTGCCTTCTCACTTTGAGGTACCACAGGCAGGTAAGCCTTTGAGCTCACCTAATGAACTTGTTCCCCCTCCTCCCTCCCCTACGAAGTGACTCACCTGCAGTCTTTCTTGTTCTGATTCCCGCTCGAGGACAGAGGCTTGTAGGAACGTGTTGGCCTCCTCCAGACTCCTGATGTTGGCCTTGCTCTCGGCCAGGCACAGTGCCAAGTCCTGAGCCTTCTCCCTCCATTCGATCTCCCTGGCCTCTGTCTGCCTCAGAGCATTCTGCAAGCGCTCCAATTCCTGTTGCACTGGGGACGGTTGTGGAGATGGCTTCTCCGCTGGGAAGCCTCTGCGGCTTGAGGAAGAGGATTCCAGATCCTGCCTGTGCCGGGCCTCCCTCAGCAGCAAAATCTCTTCTTCCTTTTGGGCTACAGTCAGCCGCAGCTCCCGTAGGCTCTCAAGAAAGCCCCTTTTCTCCTCTTCTCTCTCTCGCTCCAGACTTTGCTTCTTTTGAATCTCATTTTCTTGACTCCTCTGGGCCACAGCCTTCTCCAGTAGCTGCCTCTGCTCCTCCTGCTGCCTCAGTTCTTCTTCCTTCTGGGAAAGTTCCTGCTGGAGCTGTTGCATAAGCTCCTGGTGTCGGAGAGCCTGGGCCTGGATCTCACTGTCTCGAATCCTCAGGGCCTCCTTCAGCTGCCTGGCTTGTGCCTGGCAAGTGTCCAGCGTAGCTTTCAAGGTGGTAGTGCTGGTCTCCAGAGTGCAGCTCAACTCGGCCTGCTCAAGCAGACTCTGCTCTTTCTCCTGCAGGGCAGCCTGGGCTTTGCTGAGGGCCTCCTGCAGAGCCTCTGCCCGGCCCCATGCAGCCTCCTCCTGTTGGCGAGCATACTGGTTTTCTGCTCGAAGAGCCGCTAGCTCTTGTTCTTGTTCTGTGAGTGTGGCCTGGGCCTGCAGCCAGCTGTCCTGCAGGGCCCTGGCTTCTGCCTCATGTTCCTGTGCCTGTTCAGCACACCGCTGTTGAAGGGCCAGCACTGCCTTCTCATGCTCCAGGGACTCAGCCCTTAGGTCTCCCAACACCTCTTCCAGGGCCCGCACCTGGCGGCCCTCCACTGCCAGCTCTTCCTGGAGCCTTTGCATCTGGTCCTGGTGTTCTTCCAGCTCCCCCTGCTGGTCCTTCAGCGTCACATGAGCTTGCTCCAGAGCGGCCTGCAGAGCACTTGTCTTTTGCCTCATGCTTTCCTCCTGGCCCCTGGCTAGCTGCTGTTCTTGCCGAAGGGCCTCTAGTTCTTGGTCCCTCTGGGCCAGAGCTCTCTTGGCCTCCTCCAGCTGACCCCGAAGCGCCTGCTCTTTCAGCTCCCCTTGTTCCTTGGCTTCCTGGAGGTGCTGCTGCAGGGCTGCGGCCTCCTGTTCTCGATGGGTCAGGAGCAGGCTGGTCTCGTCCACTTTCCTGTGTAGGCCCTGGAGCTGCTGTTCCAGCTGGTCTGTGTGCTCCTGCAGCTCCTGGATACGCTCCTGCTGGCATTCTACCTCCTTCTCCTTATCACGCAGGATCAGCTTCAAGTGTTCCAGGCTCCCACGCTGGGCTTTACTCGGGCTCTTTCCATCGTCGGCCCGCTCGTGCACCAGCTGCCGCTGAGAGGCCAGCTCCGGGCCGCGTTCTCTCAAGGAATGCTTGATCTGCTCCAGGTCCTCCTCTAGGATCTTGGTCTGAAGCATCCTCTGATCTTCCAGAACCTGAATCCTCTCCTTCTGCAGCATCAGCTCCTGGCCTTTCCTCTCCAGGTCCTGAGTCAGCTGCTCCTTCTGCTTCTGCAGCTCATCAATCTGTTGGTGTTGAGACTTCACCTCCTGATCCCTCTCCTGCAGCTCTCTTGCCAGCTGCGTGCTGTGGTTCTCCAGCTCATGGAGCTGGCTGCTTTGTGCCTGCAGCTCCTGGCTCCTTTCTTCCAGGTCCAGTGTGAGGTGGGTTAGGGCCATCCTCTGCATTTCCCTCTGGCCTTCCAGCTCCGTGATCATCTGCTGCTGGCCCTCCACTTTGTGATGGCTTTCCTCCAGTTCCAGGGCCACGCATTCCAGCGTCACCAGCTGCTTTTTCAAATCCTGAATCTGTCCCCTCTGGGACTCAATCACTTGAGCCTTCTTCTCAAGCTCCAGAAGCTGATGCTCCAAGACACCTCTCTGGGCCTCTCGCTCTTTCTCCAGTTCTCTGATCTGGTCCCGCTGCACACTCAGCCTCTGCTCCCGCTCCTGGACGGCCATGGGCAGGTGCTCTAAGACGGACCTGCACTTCTCCAGCTCCTCAATCTGTTCTTGTTGCAAGTCTATCTCTTGGCTCCTCTTCTTCAGGTCCAGGGAGAGCAGTTCCAGAGCAGCCTTCTGCATTTCCCGCTGCTTCTCTAGTTCCTGAACCTCAGCCTGCAATGTCTCCACCTCCCGTTCTCTGTTAGACAGGGTCTGGGCCAGCAGGGTTAGATTCTCCTGCAAAGCTTTCCCCTGAGCCATCTTCAGCTCGCCCTGCTCTTGCAAAGCCTGGGCTCTCTCCCGCTCACTCTCTATCTCCTCGTTTTTCAGTTTCAGTGCAGAGCGAGCCGTCCGCAGATCTTCTTCCAGGACACCGGCTGCACTTGCCTGAGCCTGAGCTTCTGCAACACACGACTGTAGATGTTCCACCTGGGCCGACAGCTTCTCCTTAGATGCCTGAAGCAACTCTCGATCACTCTGGGAACAAGAGGCAAAGCACCTTAAGACTATTTCGTTTTTTGTTTGTTTGTTTCTTTTTCAAGACAGGGTTTCTCGATGTAGCCCTGGCTGTTCTGGAACTTGCTCTGTAGACCAGGCAACCACGCTACCACCAAACTCAGGTCTGAATGCCTCTGCCTTCCAAGTGCTGGGATGAAAGGCATGCACCACCATCATCCAGTCAAGATTATTTTCTGGATACTATCACTCTTACTTTATGGCACCAGCAGTGACCAGGCCTTAACAAGGACAGAAGAAGTGATTTATTCCACTTAAGGTGATCCTATACAAGCATGTCCCTACCATCTTCCAAAGTTCCTCTGTGTCCAGGGATATAGCCTAGTGCAAAGAGACATTCTAGACCCTGATCTTGCAGATGAAGGAACAACAGTATGACCTTAATAACAGGAATGTGGAAGAGCCAGGAGAACCGTGGGATTCGCTGAAGGAAGCCATGTATGAGCACAGGCCAAGGTGGGCCTGAACTCTAAGCAGCACTCCTGAGGCACCTTCCCCAGACCAGCACTTTACCTGAGCTTCCATTTTCTGCCTCTCTGCCTGCTGCAGGCGACTCTGCAAGGATGCCACAGTCTCATGCAAGTCCTTTAGCTCAGACTCCAGGGAGTTCTGTTTCCCTTCCCACCTGGATTTCTCTTTGAAAAGAACAGAGATGTTGGGAGTCAGGTGCATGGTCACAGGTGGGAGAGCACAGGTGCAGGCAGAGGCAGGTGGAGGAGAGGGATCAGAATCAAAGGGGAACCAGGCCAAGGAGGACAGAATTACAGCTAGTGCCCTGGGCTATCCACCTGCCAGCAGCTGCTTCCAGCCTCACAACTGTGTCTGCTGCCAGTCCTGGCACAGCCCAGCCTGCTAATCATCCTAACACTTGCTCATCCTGATCACCCAGGCTCCCCAGATCAGCCCTCCAGATGAGAGCTAGCTGACAGCAGGGTCCCTGTACCCCCAAATTATGAGTTTGCAGGAGGCCTAGAAGCCCTGAAATCTGAAGACGCCCCAGAGCCAGCTCTTTGTGCGGATCTCACGGAACCTTCAAACGCCTTTAAGGCTCCAACCCACCCAAGCTGGCCTTTTCCTGCTGCAGCAGAAGAAAGGGAGCAGTCTAGAGCCTCCTTAAATTTTCAAGTGGTCACCACCCCCTAAGCTTTTGGCAGAGGTACATGACAGTATCTTTTTCCTCATTCCCCTTCGTGGCCTTTCTCACAGTAAGTTTATAATCCTTCTGTCCTCAAAGGCTAATTTTGAGGGTATAATGGGAAATGATAAAAATCATGGGTAAATGATAATTTATGTTCTAATAGTTCTGGCCTAGGGTTGCTAGGATTTTGTGCTTAAAAAACAAAAACAAACAAACAAAAAAAACCCACCCCCTGATTTCCACAAACTGTCCTCTGACCTCCGTGTGCGCTGTGGTGCATATGTACACGCGCGCACACACACTCACCCTAAATAAATGCATTTTTAAAAATGTACCTACAGCACTTTTTACACAAACACGAAAGAACTTACCTTCTTCTCAGCTCCACATGGAACTTTCTCCAAAATAAATCATATAGTTGGTAACAAAGCAAGCCTCAACAGACACAAGAAGATTGAAATAATCCCTTGTATCCTATCAAACCACCATGGACTAAAGCTGGACCTCAATAACAACAGAAATAACAAAAAGCCTACACACACAGGGAAACTGAACAACTCTCTACTCAGCGACAGCTGGGTCAGGGAAGAAATAAAGAAATTAAAGATCTTCTAGAATTTAATGAAAGTGAAGGCACAACTTACCCAAACTTGTGGGACACGTTGAAAGCAGTGCTAAGAGGAAAGCTCATAGCACTAAGTGCCTTCATAAAGAAATTCCAAACATCTCATGCAAGCAACTTAACCACACACCTGAAAGCCCTAGAAAAAAAAAAGCAGACACACCCAAGAGGAGCAGACAGCTGGAAATAATCAAACTCAGGGCTGAAATCAATAAACTAGAAACAAAGAGAACAAGTCTAAAAATCAATGAAACCAAAAGCTGTTTCTTTGAGAAAAATCAACAACATAGACAAACCCTTAGGAAAACTAACTAAGAGGCAGAGAGACACCATCCAAATCAGCAAAATCAGAAATGAAACGGGGGACATAACAACAGACACTGAGGAAATCCAAACAATCGTTAGGTCTTACTTCAAAAGCCTATATGCCACAAAATTTGAAAAATCTAAATGAAATGGACAATTTTCTTGATCAATTCCACCTACCAAAGCTGAATCAAGGGCAGGTAAATAAATTAAATAATCTGAGCCCAGGGGGTCCTGCAGAGACTGATGCACCAACCAAGGACCATGCATGGAAAGGACCTAGACTCCCTGCTCAGATGTAGCTGATAGGCAGCTCATTCTCCATGTGGGCTCCTGAGTAAGGGGGGGCAGGGGCTGTTCTTTGATCACTTTCCTCCCTGGTGATGCAGCCTTGACAGGCCACAGAGGAAGAGGATCCAGGCAGTCCTGATGAGACTTGATAAACTAAAAGCACATGGCAGGGGAGAACTCTCCTTTTCAGTGGACTAGGGGAAGTGGATAGGAGGGCGGGACCAGGAGGAGTTGAGGGAGGGGGCTACAATTGGGATATAAAATGAATAAATTGTAAAATATGAACTAATAAAAAAATATTAAAAAACAAAAACTCAGGACTGGAGAGATGGCTCAGTGGTTAAGAGCACTGTCTGCTCTTCCAAAGGACTTTCAGTTCAATTCCCAGCACCCACACACAGCTCACAACTGTCTGTAACCCCAATTCTAAAGGATCTGACACCTTCACACTAATGCACATAAAATAATATTAATTATTTTAAAAACAAAAACAACAACTCCCTGAAGAGACTAAGAGCAGCCCAGGAAACAACTTCTATCAGTTTTCCAAATCTGTTCCTTCTAACTTCTTCCTCCAGGATGACCCACAAAAGCCAAGCAAAGTGGGAAAAAATTTCAAGAGGCCCTGCCCCTTACAGGCGCTTAGCTGCTCTCTGGTCGTTCGGCCACGTTTGCCTCCATTCAGCCTCCCCGCTCGCCTGAGCTCCTCACCTTCTTGGCTCTGTGCAAGCTCTCTCTGTAGGTCCTGCAGCTCCGAGTGGACCTGGCTCTTCTGGGCCTCCGTGTCCACCAGGCGCTGCGCCAGCTTCTGGATCTGGTCCCTTAGGTCATCCTGGGAAAGGAAGGGTGGAGCGGAGCTGGAGCTTTGTGCAAAGTTATCCCACAGGAGCTCAGACCCTGTCCTTACTCTATAGTCTCTGCCATTATGACCCTACTCTAAACCAGCGGTTCTCAATCTTCCTAATGCCACAACCCTTTACACCCTTTTCCTCATAATGTGGTAACCCCCCAACCCTAAAATTATTTTTGTTGCTAATTCATAACTGCAATTTTGCTGTTATGAATCATAACGCAAATGTCTGTGTTTTCCAATGGTCTTAGATGACCCCCGTGAAAAGGTCATTCGACCCCTCAAAGGCATCGAAATCCACAGGTTGAGAAGCTCTGCTCTCAACCCTCATGCATCTAGTTCCTTGAAGGGGGTGAACCTGATGGTCGCTGGGAAGCCCCTCGAACCTATGCGTTTGTATTTCGGACAGTCTCATGCACCCCAGGCTGACCGTATACTGGAGAGCCAGTCCTACAGCCTCCGCCGACTACAAATACCTAGGCTGGTCTTAAACGCCTCATCACCACCCTGCCTCCCCCTCCCAAGCCCTGGACTACAGACATTCAAGGCCCCACACCTGGTATCTACCCAAATCCCCACATGTTTTTTTGGGGGGGGGGGGGGGGGGGGGGGAGGGGAGGGTAGGCCTGGGGGAGGGGAAAACATGGTCTCAGTATATAACTTAGGCTGGTCTCATATTCTCAATCCTCCTGCCTCAGTCAGCCTCCTGAGCTCACAAAAGCCTACGCCCAGTTCAGACCACAGTTGCGTCCTCCTCCTGACACCGCCCAGTTCCAGCAAGGCTCTCGCTGTGTCTGAACTAGTCACTTCTGTCAGTTCCACTAACAGAGCGCAGCTCGGGCTTCACCATGGAAGGGCTTCTTGAAGACAGGCTGGATCCTTACCTTTCGGCATCACCAGCTCCGAGTGGCTAGTGTGCTGGCAGCCCTCAGTACTGACTGGCAGGTGCAGAATGAGGTGGAACTACCTTAGTCTTAAGCTTAGAATGTTCTTGTAAACATTCTAAGTACTTCAAATGTCCATGCCCCCAGCTAATCTGACTTTCCTGGGAGGACTTAGTACTAAGAACACATTCTTGAATGAGAGGGAATGACAAAACCAAACCCCTATGTTGTAATGAAGGGTTTCCAGTTCACAGCACTCCTTCAAGACTCCTACTTAGAGCAATGGGGTGTGAAGTGGTGGGTGATGGTGGGGGTGGCAGAGGAAGGGGAGCATTATCTGCCCTATTTTTCAAGTGAAAACCAGGCCCAGGAAATTCAAATGCTTTAGTTTTGTTTGCAGGACAGTAAGCGATACAGGAGAACGACAGGCAGAGCTCAGGAGGAGTATCCCTTGACCCTCTTCCTCCATGTCCCCAGTCTGTTTCAGCACCGCAGAGGAACGCAAGAGAAGGGAGGGCAGAGAACATACCTGGGTCTGCTGGGCCTTCCACAGGTCTCGATGAAGCTTCTGGAGAGCCAGTCCTACAGCCTCAGCTGACAGCGCCGTCAGGAGGGGCCCTCTTTTGAAGAGTCTCCTAGCTCCGTTCTGGTCTGAGGAGGAAAAGTCTTCTCACCTGGCTGTCGCAATAAGCAGCAAGTGTCCCCCCAGACAGAGCCTTGGCGTTCCCACCAGCTCCCCTCCTCCAAGGAATCCTGTGCTTCATCCACACACTTCCTATTAGATAATGCTGGCTGCAGGCTGCTATGCTTTCACGTACAAGCTGCAAAATTTTTTATCTTCTTCAATTTATTTTTTTTATGGTTTTTCAAAACAGGGTCTCTCTGTGTGGCCCTGGCTGTCCTGGAACCACTCTATAGACCAGGCTGGCCTCGAACTCAAAGAGATCCACCTGCCTCTGCCTTGAGAGTGCTGGGATTACAGGTGTGTGCCATCACTGGCTGCGTATCTTTATTATTTTTAATATTTATTTTATTGTATATACAATGTTTTGCCTGCATGTACACCTGAATGCCAAAAGAGGGCACCAGATTTCATTAGAGATGGTTATAAGCCACCATGTGGTTGCTGGGAATTGAACTCATGCCCTCTGAAAGAGCAGGCAGTGCTCTTAAGCTCTGAGCCATCTCTCCAGCCCTATTTTTATTTTTTAAAGACAGGATTTATGTAGTCCAGGCTGGCCTGGAATTTACTATGCACCTGAGGATGGCTGTGTACTCTTAGTTCTCCTGCTCCAGCTCCCACTTCAAGCAGGTACCACTATGCCCAGCATCTCACTTGTAGCTTGGTCTGGTGGAGAATCCTACAGTGCCTGAGTGCTGGGGTTACAGGCAGGAGCCCCACATTTGGCCTAGCTCTTTATGTTTGTAATCTCCTTAGAAAAATTCTAAGGTAGGACTTTCCTTTTATAGTCAAGAAAAAGCAAGTTGACAGACTGGTGTTCAAACTGTGAACTGCAGTGTCTGTGGTCTTAACCTTGCTGCCATTTCACAAGAGGAACTACAGTCCCTTCCCTTCACCCCCAGCCTTGGCCCAAAAGACTTAGCTCTCATCTGGTGTCCTCACCTGGCTCAGGGTCCCATCGGGTGGGAGCAGAGTCGCCCCCGCCTGTCAGCTCAGGTCGGCTCTCACATGCAGACCCCAGGGCCTGCTGCAGAACAGAGTAGAGGCTAGCCAGCTGGGCCTGGGCCTGCTTCTCCGGCTGCTGTTCTGCGGCCAGTAACTCTAGCTGGCTCTCAGTGTTGCGCAGCTGCAACTGCAGCTGGGCTGCCTTGGCCTCCTGGGACCACAAGGAAGCTCTAAGCTGCTGCTCGGTGATCCGTGAGGCCTCCAGCTCCCTCAGCAGCTGTGCTTCCTGGGCCACGAAGTCAGCCTCCTTCTCCTTCACCTCCTGCCTCAGCAGTTCCACCTGCCAGGAGCAAGGAGACTCCTTGAGCAAGAGGCACCCTTGCCTTAATCCTCCCACACCTGACCCCACTCAGGTGGGGAGAAGTCTGGCAGGCTCAGCTCTGCAGCAGGTAGGAAGGGCCCTGAAATGAGTTGTTCTGACAATGGGAGGTGACCAACAGGGGACCAGGCTACACTAACAGGCCCTGACCCTGCTGCCCAAGCAGGCGGATATGCCAGCTCCTGCTGTGATTAGAACTCTAACCTGAACCCTGACATGGACCTAGTCAAACTTCATGAAGACTAGTAGGCAGACCCACAGCCTTGCCACTGTCTAACTCTCTTTCCTAACTCCATCTCTCCTCCAGGCTCAGGTCTGGGTCTCAGCATAAGCAAATTGAGTAGTAAGGTCCGCTTGCTAGTGTTTCTGATCTGAGGTATTTCTTGATGGCCTGTTGCACTTTGCCAACCGGATACAGCATATTTACAGGTGACTTCATGAATCGGGCCCACATGGCCACTCTTTGAATACTCTGTTCAGGATGTCTGGGTGACGTTTTCATCTCTGGGACAGGTCCCCAAGCCTCTGGCTACCCAGCCCTGGATTTCCCCTACTACCAGGGATGCTGAGGTCCCAACCTACCCCATTCTTCGGACAAAAACAATTAACCAGCCCATGTAAGAGCAGCCTCAACAGAGAGTGGGGCTCAGGTATAATGGGTGTACCTGTAGACTGAGCTCTCTCTGCCCCTCCTGGGCCTCCTGTACATCCTGCCGCAAGGAGCCCAACTCCTGCTGTCTAGCAGAGTCAGCTTCTTGTAAAACAAGGATTCTTTCTTCCTTTTCCACCAGTGACAGAGCCAGGCTGAAAACATGTTAAAGAGGTGGGTCACCCTCCTGGGGAATGAGACAGTATGCCTCACCTGATGAATCAGAACATTGTATTAAAACAGAAACAGTAATGGTGACTATAGGGTCACAGTAAAAACTACTATTACTGAACACCTCCTAACACTTTTAGGGATTTCATACATATGAGGACTCATTTCAGCTCAAATTTATTCTTCTCTGATAAATTACACACACACATACACACACATTTCAAATTCACTATATCCAAATTTCTTGTCCCTGTGCCCTCAATTTTACACCCAATGATATCTCACTGTCCCATGGCTCTGTGAAAGGCTCCTTCAGCTAGAGTGTCACAGTATGGAAGCCAGGTTATTTCCATTCCCCCTTCATCCTACCCACATCCACTCTATCACTACAGTTGAGTCATAACCCCCTCTTCTTCCTTTCCCTATGACTTACCATAGCCCAGTCTTGCTACCTCTCCTCTGGACACCTCCACCAGCCTCCTAACCTGTCTTTAGGACTCAGGGTCACTAGAACCACCCCTTCTCACACTCCTAGGGCACTGAGTGTATGCTGCTCCCCTTTCTGAAGGGCTCATGCTCAGGTGCTTTAGGCCATAGCCCTTCTGACACAGCAGACACTAGATTATGTTGATTTCCTTTCTTGAAATCCTTGCAGATTCCTACTGAGTGTAACCAGAAGCTCCTTGGTATGGGCTTTAGCAAACAATAGCTAACAGCGGTGTGAACCCCACACTCTGGGCATCACCACACACTACGTGCGTCCATCTGCCTCAGGGCTTCTGAGCATCAAATCTCCTCTCATGGAACAGAACTCCTGTCCTTTGCACGGATGGTTCCACTTCATCTTTCAGCATTCAGTTTATTTTATTTCCTGTGTGTGGAGGGGGCATGTGAGGTCAGAGGACAATCTTCGGGAGTGGGTTCTCTCTACCATGTGGCTCCTGGATATGGAACTCATGTTGGCAGGCTTGGCAGCAAGCATTCTTAACCCTAGCGTTCAGTTTATTTCTTTTATTTGTTTACTCATTCATTCATTTATGGTTTTTCCAGACAGGTTTTCTCTGTGTAGCCCTGGCTGTCCTCAGAGATGCCTGCCTCCTGAGTGCTGGGATTAAAGGTGTGCACCTCACTCGGCTTAGCATTCCATTCAAAGGCAACTTCCCGGGAGAGACTTTCCCTATACCTTTCTAAAGCAGTTCTCTCTCTCTCTCTCTCTCTCTCTCCCTCCTACAGCATGTGTAATCATCTGTAACGTTTTAAAGAATTGATTAAAAATTTCCACACAGAATATAACTTCTATTGCCATAAGGAAATGGTGTATGAATGGTCTTCTCTAGGTACTTACACAATGAATTAAGTATAAGATGTGAAGCACAGGCCATGTCCACTCCAGAGGGCTACATGTGTACCCCAGACTGACACATGAAAGCTGAGGCAACCACTCACAGGACAGTCAGTGCCATGGTGACTGCTGTGGAGAAGGCAAAAGCCACCCCTCTGGCTGTCTAGCCTACCTGGCTTTCTCTTTCTCCAGTTCCTTCTGAATCCGGCCACATTCTTGAGCCTCCTTCACTTTCTCTTGAATCTCTTGTTTCACCATCCTCTGGGAGTCATCCTGGGTTATCAGCTGAGACTTCAAGTCCTCTACCTGGAAGTGAAGAGCATGAGGCTGAGAGGGCAAAGCCCAGGGGCCCAAGTGGGAAGGTGCTGCTAGCCTAGGGCGTTAGGCTCCTGTCAGCTGTGCTGGTCAGTGGCTGCCTCCACAGTTCCGGGTTTCACTAGTCTCTATGCTATTTTGTTTTCTTTTTTACATTTACCAGTTTATCCATTTATGTGAGTGTATACACACTCGACTGCATGCCATGACATGTTTGTGGCGGTCAGCTCAGCAATTTATAAGAGCTGATTCTGAACTATCTTCTTTTTCTTTCTTTCTGTCTTTAATGTACTGCTGAGCCATCTCTCCAGCCTGGATTCTGAACTGTCTGTCTTCACAAGTGTGTGCACGTATACACAGAGCTAATTTACTAACTCTTGGGCTTATCCAAAAAGGTTGGCTGAGTCCATGCAGTCATGTGGAAGGAGGGTAAATAGGGTCTGAGGATAAAGGGGGAGACTATTTATTTCTAATTACTGCTTCAGAGCCTTACAAATGCTACATAAAGTCAGACACAAACAAAAATCTTAGTTAAATACAATTATCCCAAAAGGTCGAGTGATGGGCAAGACCACAGTGACCACACACACAAACACACACTCTAAGAAGAAAAAGCATCTGGTATATATGGACATGAGATTTAGGTGAGGGCAGGAAAAACAACCGCAACTGGCTTGCCTAAGTCAGCTTATGATGACTCCAGACAAACAGATGACAGCTGTCACAGCCCAGAACACGTCTCACTGGCTATCAAAATTTGCAGATGCTTATATAAGCCACAAGTTGCGTTTTTTCATGTATATATGGTGTACATATGTTTGTGTGTGTGTATATGTAGGTCAAAGGTTACTATGTGTCCTCCTCTATCATTCTCTACTTTTTTTGAGGCAGGGTCTTTTTCTCTCTAAACCCAGTGTTTACCCTTAACAAGACTAGCTGACCAGTGAACTCCAGAAATCCTCCTGCCTCTGGCTCTTCGGCCCTAGTATTACCGGCCCTAGCTTTTCCTGGGGGGACTGGGATTCTGAATTCAGACCCTTATGAATGTGTGGCAGGTACTTTATCAGCCACGCCATCTTCCCAGCCTGTTCTTGTTTTAGAGACAGAATCCCACTCTCCAGCTTAGTTGACTTCAAAATCAAGTCCTCCAGCCTAAACCTCTTAAGTGCTGAGATTAAATTATACAGTATTTGAATATAACCTATTCACATTCACTTTAAATCATCTCATATTATCAAAACTGATCCAATGTAAACAGTACCTAATGTAATGTAAATTCCATGTAAACAGTTGTTATATATTATTTAGAGAACAAGAAAAAGTCTGTACTTTTACAGTACAGTGTCTTCCCAATGTTTTCAAGTGGCCATTGGTAGACTCTGTGGAGAAGAAGGGCTAATAATACAATCCCAGAACTCTGAGACGCACATTCTCAGCTCTGAGTACCCTTCAGCTCAGCGCGTGTTTCTGTGGCCTCTCCCTGTCCTTCTGAGCTCATGAAGCAGGATGCCTTGTCTGCAGAAGGGAGGAGGAAGGCCTGGCTGTACTTCAAGGGCTGTGGGGCAGGTAGAAAGGAGGGACCTGCTTCTGCAGGTCTGTCTTGTCCTTCCGGAAGGCATCAAGCTCGTCCCTGTGCTGCTGGGCTGCCTCCTTCAGCTCCTGCTGTGCCCCCCGAAGCTGACTCTGCAGCATGCCAGTGGTTTCCTACAGAGGAAAAGAAATCAGTGAGTACAGAAAAGCTTCCACAAGGGCTAGCTCCTGAAACCTGTGTTGTATAGTTTGTTTCTTTTGAAAAAGCTGAAGCAGTAATTGGCTGCTTCCCCCTTTATCCTCAGACCCTATTTCCCCTCCTTCCACATGACTGCATGGACTCAGCCAACCTTTCTGGACAAGCCCACGAGTTAGTAAATTAGCGAGACCACCTAACAGCCTCCTGAACATGTCCCGGCTTCCACCTGATTGCATATACACATGCACACAGTTCTACTTGGTCAAGTACTGCATTAAAAAGATACCCTGGCCAGGCATGGCGGCACATACCTTTAATCCCAGCTCTACAGTGGCAAATGCAGGTAGGAACTAGAAAATAGAGTCCCTACCTCAAAAAACAAACAAACCAAAATTCTAGGCTGCCATGGTAATTTAGTATTTGAACATTTGCCTAACGTGTACAAGGCTCCAGGTTTGATCCCCAGAACCACAAAAAAATAATAACAATAATTAAAAAATAAATATTTAGATGTATACAGAAATACACAAAATCGGGGCTGGAGAGATGGCTCAGAGGTTAAGAACACTTGCTGTTCTTCCGAAGGTCCTGAGTTCGATTCCCAGTCAACCACATGGTGGCTCAGAACCATCTATAGTAAGATCTGGTATGCAGGCAGAATGTTGTATAAATAATAAATAAATCTTTAAAAAAAAAAAAGAAATACACAAAATCATGCATCATGGGGGCTGGAGAAATGGTTGGCAGTCAAGAGAGCTTGCTGCTCTTTGCTCTCGCAGAATACCCAGGTTCAGTTCCCAGCACCCCCATGGTGGTTCACAACGGTCTGTAACGCCTCTGCTGGCCTCTCCAGATACCAGGCACGCACAGGGTATATATACACACAGGCAAGCCAAACGCTCATAGATGTAACATAAAAATAAATAAATCTTTAAAAAAAATCATGCGTTTCCCCTCCTCTTAAAATAGCATTCACCAGGTTTCCACAGGCCTCAAACAAACCCCAAGCTCTTCATCCTCGCCCCTATCTCCTGCACTCAACCCTGTGTTTATCACACTAGAGCCACACACCTCCTTTTGTCCTTCATTTTCCTAAGCCTCTTTCTGTCTGTTGCAGGGCCCGATGACAGTGAAATCCTATGCCTAACATGTCCTTCAAACATTATCCTCGGTGAAGGTGCTTGCTGCCAAGTGTGATGACCTGGTCAATTCCAGGGTCCTATATGGTTGAAAGAAAAAACCAGCTCCCACAAGTTGAATCTCACAGGCCATGTGCACATGCATGTACACACACACACACACACACACACACACACAGAATAAGTAAATGCAATTTAGCAATAACTAAAAACTGCTGCCTCCTAGCATCTGCGAAGCCCTGAGGTTCAGTCCCTAACAATACATAAAACTATGTGTTCCGTCCACAGCTGTAATCCCTGCCCTGAGGAGGTGGAAGCAGAAGGACTGCCCTCCATACCTGTTCCTTTAACTTCTGAGTCTTCATGTCTTGCCTCAGCCTTTCCAGCTGTTGACTAGCATCTGCCAGTTCCTTCTGGGTCTGCAGCAGCGTCTCCAGGAGGGACACTCTCTCCTTCTCTGTTTCTAGCTGCATCTGTGTTAGGGCAGGAAGGGCAAGGATTTCATGGCTCTGGGTTGTCATGCTCACCCGGGAAGCCATCACATCTGCTCAAAGTACTTCCAACAAATAGGATGAGGGGCTAAGGGCAAAGGAAAGTCTAAGACCATTTCTTAGAACCAGGAAGTGCAAAGATTGCCACTGGTTTGCAAGCTGACAGGATGTGGTAAATGTTGGCCCTCCCTCAGGAAGTATGACATACTGCCTGCTTGTAGCTAACTGCATATTAGCCCATTCACAAGCGGCAAAGCAGTAGCTACACTCTCTTCAGGAAGCCTCTGAGCCTAGCTCTTAGGAATGGAAAAGTAAGTGGAAAAAGACTGGGGAATCAAAGCTCATGAGGGTCTAATACTCCAGGCTGCTTACGTGGTACAGGGCGTTGTCAGCCTGAGCTCGGTCCTCTTCCCTCTGTGCACGGATAGCTTCAGTTTCTGCCTGTTGATCCCTCAGTTTCATTTCCAGCTCTGTCCTCTCCCTTTCTAGAGTCTCCAAGGTCTTATCCAGCTTCTGCTGAAGCAAGGAGCGCTCTTTCTCCTGACCATGTGAAGGAAACCACACCATTAAACCATCGAGTGAGCAGAAGAGGCAGGAGAGCTTGGCTGGAATTCGAATCTCTCCACTGCTTCGCTGTGACTTGGGCACAGCTCTAAGCTTGCTGAATCATTTCTCAAGGGAGGGTTAACAATCCCTGCCTCATCTGTCTCACTAGAATTTAAGAGTTAAGTGAGATTTATTAAAAAAAAAAAAAAAGTGTACACACTAGGCATAGTGGTACACAGCTTTAATCCCAGCACTTGGGAAGCAGAGGCAGGTGGATCTCTGAGTATGAGGCCAGACTGACTGGTCTACAGAGAGAGTTCCAGGACAGCAGGGGCACAGAGAAACCTTGTCTTAAAAAACAAAACAAACATTTTGAAAAAACAAAAAACAAAAAACAAGGAAAAGCTTTGTAAACAGAATCTTAACATTTTGAATACAAACAAATGAATCTGAAACAAAAATTAAGCGGTTTGCTCCATATGAATGTATGGCCCCCAGAGAGGTAATTCTGTAATGTCAAACAGGAAGTAATAGTCTATTACTGCTAGTTGGACTATAAGCAAAATATTTTACTATTAAAAGTGTCACATTCTGGGCCAGCAAGATGGCCCAGAAAGTAAAAGCAACTGCTGCATCAGCTTTACGACCACTAAATAGAGGTTGGCATTGAACTCACAGAGATCCACTTGCCTCTGCTTACAAAGTGTTGGAATTAAAGGCAGGCACACCACCATGCCTGGCTTAGAAAAGTGTTTTACCGGAGGTACACATGCTCTGTTCTATAAGCGCCTGTATCTGCCTTAGTCAGACCGACATTAGATATTAAGCACTTGTCCATGCAAGCGCCATACTTTTCTTTAGGAGTGTAGCTACTGTAGGTTCCTCATGGCCATAAAGTCATAAAAATAGCATAAAATAAACCTACCTGTGTCTAAAATAAAAATAGAAACAAAAAATCTAATTAAGTAATTAGAAGGCAGAAGAAACAGTCCTGTCCCCTCTGCCCCAAAGTTTCTCTGTATACTACTGGCTGTCTTAGAACTTTCTCTGTAAACCAGGCTGGCCTCAAGCTCATAGAGACCTGCCTGCCTCTGCTTCCCAAGTGTTGGGATTAACAGGCATATGCTGGGGGCTGGAGAGATGGCTCAGTGGTTAAGAGCACTGGCTACTCTTCCAGAGGACCGGGGTTCAATTCCCAATACCCACGTGGCAGCTTACAACTGTGTAGCTCCAGTTCCATGGGATCTGACACTGTCACACAGACAAACATTCGGGTAAAATACTAATGCACATAAAATAAAAATAAATCATTAAGGAAAAAAAAGGCATGTGCCATCATGCCTGGAAGTCTCTTTGCATTTTGAGAAAGGTTTTTCCCTTTGTAACATATTTGTAGCCTCACAAGCCTACTCCTGAATGTTGAGATTATAGTTTCGCTCTGCCAGGGCTTAATTATTTATAAACACTAAGCAAGTAAACAAGCAACACACACACAGCTTATAAATACAGAAGTCACACTATTCCAGGAGCTATAAGCTGTTTGAGTCTGAAGCCCACTAGGCTACAAAGAGATACCTTGTCTTAAAAAACAAAGACTAAAGTAGAGACAGAGACAGGCATTCTGGGATTGATGATCATTAAACTGGATTTCATACCTTGGTGATCAAATTTCCATCTTCTAAGCAACAATAGTGGACCAAGCGGCAGTAGGAGCCAGGCTCCTGGAAGGGAGGCCATGCCTGCCTCTCCTATCCCAGCCACACACACCACCTACCCATTTCTCTTGGAGCCTGTTCACCTCCTCCTCATGGGCCACCTTCTGTCGCTCCAGAGCTGCTTTCCCCTCTTGTTCAGCTTGGGCTAGCTGCCTGGCAACTGCATCCCGCTCTTGCTCTGCCCAGCTCCTCTCAGCATCCAGTTCCAGCTTCAGGCATTTCACCTCCCCTAGGATGTCAGGCAAGGTGGTCTCTGAGCCTGTGCCCCACTCCTTTAGTAATACTTTCCCTGCCCACCACCTCATGAGCAACTTCCATCTCAGAGGCCTCAGCTCAAGAAAGCTTCCCACTGCCTTCTTGGCTCTTAACATCTCCAAGGAATACAGTGTGCCCCATTCCAGATGGCCTCTCACCTTGAATTACTTCCTTGGCTTGGGTAATAGTTTGAATCTGGACCTCCAGCTGCCCCTTGGTGACCTCTATCATAGAATTTTTCTGCTGGGCCTCAAACAGATTGCTCTCCAGTTGTTCCTTGGCCGACCTATAAGGTTTAGGAATCAGGAAGAGTTCTAACCCATCAAGGCTGTTACTTCCCTTTCTTAAGAGGGCCTGGGTTCTAAGTACAGGCTACTCAGAGAAGTTATGGGGGCAATTACATGTCTACAACTCATTCAGAATGCATGCACTTAGGGAGCTTAGTTTAGCTACCCTTGGCCTTGCAAAGCTCTCTGTGCTTGGCTGAACTAAGTGTGGACCCTACCTGAGGCCCAGAACTTGTTCGGCAAGGTCCTGTCGGCCCCGCTCCACAGCCTGCAGGCGCACCTCGAGAGCTGCCTTCTCCCGAACGAGGGCCTCCTTCTCCTGGACTGCTCTAGCAAGTGTTTCGTCCTGTCGTTCTGCATCCTGACACAGCTGCTCTAGTTGAACTGCAGCTGTTTCTTGCTGGTGATGTGCCTGAGGGAGAGAAATTGATGAACTACCAGGTAAGGCAGAATGCCAGGGCTACTACCATCAAGTCAGGGCCAATGGCTCTTTAGAGATCCTGAACTCAGCACTGTGAGCTCTGAGCATTGCTGACTCAGGAATACCTACCGTTTATTTATTTACTCAATCAACCAAGAGTCCCCCAGGCCAGAAAGAATGCTCTCCTATGACCAAGACACTGTGCTGGACAGCAGGACCCATATATACACCAAGAAAGTGGCTAATAACCTGAGAAGGGCCTCTAAGAACGGGTTATGTTTAAGCATTAGGCAATGAGAGGTTTGGTAGGGAAAGCATGACTGTCATGATTAAGTTCATTGTCAACTTGGTGATTTAGAATCACCCAGGAGACAGCCCTCTGGGTGTCTATGAGGATGTTTCTGGGGAGGTTTTTGGGAGGAGGGAAAAGCACCTGATTGTGACAGCACCATCTCATGAGCTGGAGTCTCGGATTCAATAAAAAGGACAACAGGAAGAAGTTCAGAGGAATAGCTCACTCCCCTTTCTGCCTCCTGGGCGCTAAGATGTGATCAAGCCACCAGAGACATCTGCTGCCACGCGCTCACCACTATGATTAACCACATCCCCTTAAACTGTGAGTGAAACAAAATACGTAGATGCTGTTTCAAAAAGCCAACAGACAGAAAGATACTGTAGGTGGTGGCTATAATCTCAGCACTCAGGAGGCAGAGATAGGAGGAGCACAGTAAAGTCTGAGGACAGCCTAGTCTACAGAGTGAAGTCCAGGCCACTTAGGGCTGCAAAGTTAGACTCTCTCAAAAGTCCAAAATAAAGGAAGGAAGGAAGGAAGGAAGGAAGGAAGGAAGGAAGGAAGGAAGGAAGGAAGGAAGGAAGGAAGGAAAGAAGGAAGGAAAGAAGGAAGGAAGGCTTTTTTAAAAAAGGATATGCAAAAAATAATCTCAGCAGGAAAACTGTAGGTGTCTGAACTAAGTATGAAGTGCTAGCAGAGAATATAGGAGGAACACAGGAAGTGGGGAGTCAGTGAAGGACTCCAATAGAAACTCTTTGAAACAGTGGGGAGAGAAACGTCACCTACACTCAGTTACCCTTGAGCAGCAGGACTTTTGCATTCTGAGTCCTTTCTGCTCACAATGAGCATGCACCACACTGCAGGTGACACTAGTAATGTGTCCTCTCACCTCACTTAATTTCTCTTTAAGTTCGTCCTTCTCTTCTCGGACGCCCTTCAGTTCTGCCTGTAGCTCAGCCCCAGCCTGCTCTGCCCTGTGCAGCTGAGCCTCCAGGTAAGTTTTCTTTTCCCACAAGGCTTCCCTGTTCGTCTCTGCCTCTGCCAGGTCCACCTGTAAAGCACTTCTCAGCTGCTCGGCCGCCTCCACTCTGCTGCACAGGGACTGGTTCTCCTGCTCCAGCTGCTGGCCAGAAAGAGAAGGGAGTGCAGGGCAGCCAAGGTAACTGGTTAAAGTTCCCACAAGCTTCTCAAGTGCTGCAACTGAAACCCACCTACAGCTGAACACAGGGCTGCTTTTAGGAGAAGGGGGTGCCCCACTCGTGTGACCTGGAGCCTGTACTCTCGCACTACGTGAGCCTGATGTCAGGTAGAGATAAAAAGGCAAGCTCTTGCTTTCAAAGGGTTCAGAATACCACCAGGTGGTGGTGCACACCTGTACCCCAGCACTTGGGAGGTGATCTAGGATCAGGAGGACAGCCTTGGCAGCATGAAACACTGTCTCAAAAAATCAAGGCAAAACAGACAAAATATCCTGAATAATGAAGTAGAGACGTTTCTGGGTGTCAGGGCATCTACAAGTTTTTCCTACTAAAATGACAGGTTAAATTTTTAACCAACAGAAATGATTTTGGGGGTACTTGGGCTTTTCAGCAGATCTGCCTCACCCAATAAGATGAAACACTTAGTTTGGCTCCCAGGGACCTGGGCCTTTCCCTAGTCCTGATGTGTCTATAGCTCAAAGGTTTTGCTGCAGGTCCACGGGAGGGGAATTACAGTGCTTAGGGCTAACCCTTTGCTCTCCTTTGCATTGTAACGTCTCTCTTGCTCATTCAGCTACAGCTGGGGGCGGACCTGCCTTTGCCTATCCACTGAGGACTCCCTTTTAAAGCATCGGCTTTGCCCACCAACGGCTAACCCTCAGATATGGACCAGCCCTGTCCTGGGAATCACATCTTTGCTCACCTGGAGAAGCTGCTGGTTCAGCCCAACTTTATCTAAAGCCAAAGCCTCATTTAAGGCCCCAAGCTTGACAGCTGCAGCTCGAAGATCAGCTACCTCTGCCTTCAGGTTGTTCTCAGAACCTGATAGATCTGAAATGGACTGTTCTGCCTTAAAAAAATAAATAAATAAATAAATAAATAAATAAATAAATAAATAAATAAATAAATAAATAAA